TGCTTTTGTTTTGTATGTTTGTGTGTACACGTACATGTGTATTCATAGAGGCCAGAGGTCAACCTTGGGTGTCTTTCTGGAGAAGCTGTCCATTCTATTTCTGAAACACAGTGTCAAACTACTTACCCCATATAGGGTATCAAGAATAGACCAAAGAAACAATAGACCCAGTTCCAATTTAATAAGCCAGTGAATTTATGGGGGCTATCTACAGCAGTATGGGTGAAGGTTTAGTTCCAGGAGCATGGACTGCTCAAAGGCAGCTGTGCCACCAAAAAGCCCACCCCAGCCTGGGTGATAACTCATGTGAAAGCTGCATACTTAAAGCTCCCTACAGGACTTGAGGAGTCTACCTAAGGCAGCTCTGGGATCTCTTTCCAGCAAATATTTACTTATTTACTGAATATATATATATATATATATATATACATATATATACATATATATACATATATATACATATTACTGTATACATACATAAATATTACTGTACACACATATAACTTACTGTACACACATATATATTATTGTATACACACATATATTACTGTAGTATATGGACAGTGTGTGTGTGTGTGTGTGTGTGTGTGTGTTGTGTGTGTGTCTGTCTGTCTTTCTCACTGGGCCCTAGAGATCACTGATTAGATGAAGCTGGCTTACAGGCCAGTGAATCCCAAGAATCTGCCTGCCTCTACCTCCCGACCACTAGGATTACAAATGTATGCCACCATGTTGGGCTTTTTATGTGAGAGCTGGGGATCAACCTCAGATCACTACACTTGCACCCCAAGTATTTTGCCCAGTAAGCTATGTCTCTGCCCACCCCCACCCCCTGAGATATTGTCTCAATAAGCAGCCCATGTTGCTTTTGAACTCAGCCGGTAGCTAAGGTGCCCTCAAACCTGTGGCCATCTGCTCAACTTCCCAAATGCTGGTATTGCAGGAGAATGCCACCACGCTTGACTGGGACCCAACTTATCTGGCTTCTTGAAATGTTTTGGTGACTTTCACGGACCACCCAAGGAGGATGATTATAAATAAATTCAAGGTCATCCTTTCTACTGCATAGCAGGAAGTTGGAGACCAGCCTGGGATGCATGAGACCTTGTCTCAAAAATAATATAGATGGCGCAGGTAACATGGTTTCCAGGGCTTCATCCCATTAGGGCTGAGAGAGGTGGCGCAGTGGCTAAGAGCATTGGCTGCTTTTCCGGAGGACCTGGGTTCAATTCCCAGCACCCACATGGCAGCCCTCAACTGTCTACAACTCCAGTTCCAGGGTCAGGGGACCTGACACCCATGGCAAAACATTAATACACATAAAATAATAAATTATTTTTTAAAATCCCACTAAACTGATTGTGTGTGTGTGTGTGTGTGTGTGTGTGTGTGTGTGTGTGTGTGTGTGTGTACATACTGCAACAGGGTCCCAGACCTTAGCACAACTGACTCCATGATGAAAGTGCCATCCAGGCTATAAAACTCAGCACATAGACAGCACCACCTGCCAAAACAAAAACAAAAACTTAATCCATCCCCTAGTTCTGGGAAAGTCTCTGAATGTATTAACCTTGATTTTTGGCTTCTGTAAGTCTGCTTATGGCTAACTGTTCTTACTAACTGAAGTATATCAACCCAGAGCATGTTTTTTGTGTTTAAAAGCTCACTCTGAGAAAGGCTCAGGGCTATAAACACCCAGTGTAATCGCCAGCCAGCTAATAAAGATTTTCTATTGGCTTAAATCCATGTCTGAGCATTCTTCTCTGGTGAATTCCCCACAACTACACACACACACACACACACACACACACACACACACACACGGTTGTTTTGTTTTGTTTTTCAAGACAGGGTTTCTCTGTGTAGCCCTGGCTGTCCTGGAACTTGCTTTGTAGATCAGGCTGACCTCGAACTCAGAGATCTGTCTGCCTCTGCCTCCCAAGTGCTAGGATTACAGGTGTGTGCTAACACCACCCGGCAACAATATATATTAAAGCACGATCTCACTATGGAGCCCTGGCTGACTCAGAACTCAGATTGCCTTACTTTTGCCTCCTGAGAGTGCTGAGATTAAACATGTGTGCTACCACACCTAGCCCTCAATTGCTTCCTGGGCTTGTTCTTTGAACAATCCTTGTGTAGCAATAATTGTGATTTTGTTTCAACAGGCTAATGCTGGGTAGATCCTCCAAACTTACTATTTCTTGTGGTGATACTTTGTGCTGTATCAAAGCTTGCCTGGAGATCAGAGTGAGGAGCTAGCCACTAGAGACCAAGCAGTGGTGGCACACACCTTTAATTGCAGCACTTGGGAGGAAGAAACAAGAGGAAGTGATAAGGCTGGGTAGAGACAGGAGCTCGGCCTTTTCAGGCTGAGGATTCCTAGAGGTAAGAAGTCTTTCTACTGGCTGGTTGCTCTGCTTCTCTGGTCTTTCAGCTTTCACCCTGATATCTGACTCCAGGTTTTTATAATTAAGACTAATTAGAATTCCTGCTACAATTTCTTTTCTTTCTTTTTCTTGTTCTCTTCCTTTTTTTTTTTTTTTTTTTTTTTTAAATTGGTTTCTTTGAGACAGGGTTTCTCTGTGTAGACCTGGCTGTTCTAGAAATCATGCTGTAGACCAGTGTGGCCTCAAACTCAGAGATCACCTGCCTCTGCCTCCCCAGTGCTGAGATTAAGGGCCTGTGCCACCTTGCCTGGCTAAATTTACTATTTCAAGGATGCCTTGGCTACTTGGATTTTGTATGACTTCTAAATTTAGAATCATTCCTTAATTTCTACCCAGAATCAATGTTACTCCAGTTGCATGACTGCAAAGCACATGCGCAGTTCAGGAGTCAAGCAAAGGGTCTTGTGTCTTACATCATCAGTGCGCGCTGGGGATCACTGAAGCGCAGTGTGGTCACACAATCTGGGCCTTAAAGAGCTGTGACTCAGACCCCACCCTCCTTCTGTTCTGCTCCGCCCCCCCATCTTCCCTCTCTCTGCACATGCTTTCCTCCCCAGGCCTGGTTCTCTTGTCTCTGCCCCACCCAATAAAGCTCTAAAACTAATACTGGGCTCTGTCGTGACCGTGACCTTTCCATGCAGTAACCAGCGCCGCCACCAGTGCCGCTTATCATTTATTTCAATCAATATTTTAAAAAAATATTTAAGGGATTTTAGTTAGTATTGTGTTGAAATTAGATGAGTAATGGACAGATATATCATCTTCCAATCTAAGAAAAATTGTGTATTCCCCCTCTATTATTTAAGATTTTTGTGAGTGTTTTGCCTGCATTATGTTATATACACCATGTGCATGTAATACACGAGGAGCTACAAGAGAACATCAGATCCCCCTAGAACTGGAGTTGCAGAGGGTTATGAGCCACCATGTAGGTGTTATATTCAACTGCTGAGCCATCTCTCTATCCTCTATTCTTATTTTCTTCTGCCTTTTTCTCCTCCTCCTCCTATTTGAGACAGGGTTCTATGTAGCCTGGAGCTCGCTATGTAGTTTGCTGGCCTCTAATTCAGAGATCTGTTTTCCACTTCCTACTGAGTGCTGGTATTCAGTTTGCACCACATTATTCATTTTTTTGTTTGTTTCCCAAACAAGAGTTTCTCTCTATCCTTGGCTATCCTGGAACTGGCTCTGTAGACCAGGCTGCATCCTGAGTGCTGGTATTAAAGGTTTGCACCACCTTTTTTTTAAAATGTATTTTCTGTTTTTTCCAAACAAGTTTTCTCTATGTAGGCCTGGTTGTCCTGAAACTCACTCTGTATGCCAGGCAGTAGAGTAACTTCAGTTCCAGGAGACTTGACACTCTCTTCTGAACTCTGCGGGCACCATGTACATACATGGTACACACAACATACATACAGGCAAAACACTCGTACACGTACAATGAAACTAAAAGAAGTGTCATATCAGCCAGGCGTTGGTGGCGCACGCCTTTAATCCCAGCACTCGGGAGGCAGAGGCAGGTGGATCTCTGTGAGTTCGAGGCCAGCCTGGGCTACCAAGTGAGCTCCA